ATGGGTATAAATAGAAAGGGGTTAGGACATGGGTATACATAGATAGAGGGGGGATATCTGAAATGCGGAACTAGGATCTGGTGCATTGGCATTGTTAAAGGTTCACAATTCTTGTCTACAGATCCTAAAAGTGAAATTTGTGACTTTTCACCATTTCCTTTCACTCCCCTAAATATTTTTTTTTATTTTCTGAATGTTGAACATTTTTTTTGGTTTGATTTAGAATAATAAAAATGATGTAATATAACTTTTTTTTTAAAAAGTACAATGAAACAAAAAACAACAACAAAAACATACATTTTTCAAAGTTAATTTTTTTTTTAAATTTTACGTGTACATTTTAGCTACTTTATGTGACGAGCCACCAAGCATAGAAAATGGCACCTTGATGTCTCCATGTTTTCCGGTAGTCGGAAGTGTCTGCCATGTCGCCTGTAACGAAGGCTACATCGTGAACGGTGCCAAGAGCATCTCGTGCAATAAAATGGTCACTTTAAACGAATGGTCATCCCCTGGACAGTGCATACCTACTGGTAAAAACAAGAGACTTTAATTTTGTTTATGGTTGTAGTACTGCCTACATACAAACACACGCACGCACGCAGGCAAGCACGCACACACACTTCCACCCCCACCCCACCCCACACATACACACACTCGCACGCACGCACGCACAGAGACACACACATATATATAGGCCTATATATATATATATATATATATATATATATATATATAGAGAGAGAGAGAGAGAGAGAGAGAGAGAGAGCTTATAAATATATATATATATATATATATATATATATATATATATATATATATATATATATATATATATATATATAATATATATATATATATATATATATATGTATATACATATATATATATATATATATATATATATATATATATATATATATATATATATATATATATATATATATATATATATATATATATATATATATACATACATATATTAAATATATATATATATATATATATATATATATATATATATATATATATATATATATATATATATATATATTATAAAAAACGATTTTTCGATATCATGTACGTTAGGTTAATGTGACTACATGCGTGTAACTGATGTTAATACCCGAACTAACAGCGTATTTCTCTTTGAATAAGGTGGCTAAGCACAATATATTAAGCAGCTACAATGGATTGTACACTACATAAGCAACACACATGTATAGAAACACCTATATCGAAACAAAATAATATATAATGTTTACTTTTCTATTTAATTAAATATGTTTTGATTGAATATTAAGTATAAATACATGTTTGCTTAAATATACGCATAAATACATGTTTGCTTGAATATAAGTATAAATACATGTTTGCTTGAATATAAGTATAAATACATGTTTGCTTGAATATAAGTATAAATACATGTTTGCTTGAATATAAGTATAAATACAAGTTTGCTTGAATATAAGTATAAATACATGTTTGCTTGAATATAAGTATAAATACATGTTTGCTTGAATATAAGTATAATCTTGTATTTAGTGAGTACCTGTGGGGAGCTGCCACCACTGACGTTCGGCCAATGGGAACCCGCCTGCAACAAGACTGTCGGCAGCGTCTGTCATCCGGTCTGCGACAAGGGGTACGTCGTGCACGGCGCTACGCAGGTCACGTGCAATGAGCAGCTGCAGTGGTCAATCTCTGGGGTCTGTGACTGTAAGGAGTTATACACACTTGGTTCAGTGCAGTGTTGCTTTCAGAATTTTTTTTTTGGGGGTGGGGGGGGGGGGTCACTTGAACCTGCAGTGATCTATCTCGGGGGTTGTGACTGTAAGGAGTTTTACACACTTGGTTCAGTGCAGTGTTGTTTTCAGACTTTTTTTTCTGGGTGTGGGGGGTAGGGAGGAGGTGGAGGGGGGGGGGGGGGTCACTTGAAGCTGCAGTGGTCCATCTTAGGGTCTGTGACTGTAAGGAGTTTTACACACTTGGTTCAGTGCAGTGTTGTTTTCAGACTTTTTTTCTCGAGGGGGGGGGGGGTCACTTGAACCTGCAGTGGTCCATCTCGGGGGTCTGTGACTGTAAGGAGTTTTACACACTTGGTTCAGTGCAGTGTTGTTTTCAGAATTTTTTTTTCTAGGGGTGGGGGGGGGGGGTCACTTGAACTTGCAGTAATCTATCTCGGGGGGTTTTGACTGTAAGGAGTTTTACACACTTGGTTCAGTGCAGTGTTGTTTTCAGAATTTTTTTTTTCTAGGGGTGGGGGGGGGGGTCACTTGAACCTGCAGTGATCTATCTCGGGGGTTGTGACTGTAAGGAGTTTTACACACTTGGTTCAGTGCAGTGTTGTTTTCAGAATTTTTTTTTCTAGGGGTGGGGGGGGGGGTCACTTGAACCTGCAGTAATCTATCTCGGGGGTTTTGACTGTAAGGAGTTTTACACACTTGGATTAGTGCAGTGTTGTTTTCAGACTTTTTTCTGGGGGAGGGGGAGGGGGGTTACTTGAAGCTGCAGTGGTCCATCTCGGGGTTTTACACACTTGGGCAAGAATTTTAAGCAAATGTGCTGTGTTATTAGTATCATTTATGGCATAGGGACACAAACTACAAAATGTTTCTATTGTTCCAGTTCCGATGAAAACGATCACGAAACCAAACGTAATCGAAGGAGAAACATTCAAAGTCGACTGTAGCGCGGATCTAGCAGGGGTGGCAGCCAGTGTGCTAGGTGTACACAAACTGGAAATATTTTGGAGGAATGGTAGAGGCGCTATGGAAGTGAATGGATATCACATGTTTCAAGGCACCTATTATCACGGAGTAAGTTATTGTGTAAGGTTTAATTATGATTGTAAAAAAAAGAAACGTACATATGTGTTATATGTCTGCCAAATTAATATAATTGTACACGTATATTAAAGAAATACTTTTAACGTTTAGATAATATTAATTCAACTGAATTTATGGCTTCAATATAGGTATTTTTGAATTTCACGAGATCATTATCTACTTCTAATATCGGTTTCCCGCTTTTAATAAATTAAGAAAATGATGGGTACCTAACTAAAGTTAGCCGAAGCAAAGGCCGCTGGGTATAGTGCTGAGCACAATATCCCTTCATTTGCTGAGGTCTCTGAAACAGATGAATTCTACTTCATCTGCCACATAAACACATTATGAATGAATTGAATATACACATATATACATATATACATATATATATATATATATATATATATATATATATATATATATATATATATATATATATATATATATATATATATATAAACATATATATAAACATATAGATATGTATGTATGTATATATATATATATATGTATATATATATATATATATATATATATATATATATATATATATATATATATATATATATATATATATATATATATATATATATATATATATATATATATATATATATATATATATATATATATTATATATATATATATATATATAATATATATATATATATATATATATACATATATATATATATATATATATATATATATATATATATATATATATATATATATATATATATATATATATATATATATATATATATATATATATATATATATATATATACATACATACACACACACACACACACACACACACACACACACATATATATATATATATATATATATATATATATATATATATATATATATATATATATATATATATATATATATATATATAGGCCTATATATATATATGTATATATCAATAAAAAATATTGTTGTAAAGGGAAAAGCAAAACCACACTGGACATTCACAAAAGAAGGAACCCTATTGATCAATGAGTTCATGTGGTTGGATAGGAGACAATTTAAGGTTCAGATCACAATAACGAACTCTCGCATCGAAGACAGCGGCCGGTTTTGTTGTGATTGCATGTACTACGATTCAAACCAACACCTTCAAGCCTCCATGCGATGCCAAGAAGTGCTAGGTATGGACATTAAGTTTTAATGCAGGTAGCCTTTTCTTTTTTTCTTTCTCAGTTCTTGTGGTGGAGGAATTCCCTCCAATACAATTAAGTATTACGTGTCAGCCTGCTTTCCTTTTTGGATTTGCTTCCATAGCCTTTGTCTAATAAAGAACAAACTACAATGTAGCAGTTTTTTTTTATTTTCTAGAAGCTGTCGAGCCTCCTTAGGCAGATGGTTCGAGAGTTTTTCGGTTTAGCTAATTTTAGCTTTACCGACTCGACCAGCCGATTGTTGTTTTCCTTTTTGTGCTACTTAGGCGTAGCGATGGGGGGCAGGGGGGGGGATATTTCTAGGGGGGCGCCAAAATGGGTTGTAAAAAGTAATCGAAAGTTTTAGGGGGATGGAAATCAGAAGTTTGAGGGGGGTGCAAATCGAAAGTTTGAGAGGGGTGGAAATCGAAAGTTTGAGGGGGGGGGGTGCAAATCGAAAGTTTGTCCCCGGGCGCTACGCATCTGTTGTGCTATAGTTATTTTTATAATCATATTTTTTTTAAAAATCCTGGTACATTATTTTTTTTATTAATACCATGTTACATACTCCGTGTTAACATGAATAGGGCTTGCATGTCTCGGTCTCTCTCTCGCTTGCGATTCGATATCTCGTTAGCCAGGTAGAGATATACATTTTCAAACTACATTAATTTTTTAGAGCATTATTCGCATGGTAAAATAAAAACAACAACATGGCGGCTTTTTGTTTCTAGGCATCAAAGCAAAACACAAAGAGTTCCAAATTTGCAGCAATTATAAAAGGTTTACTAATAATCGAACTGACTTAAATACTGTTAGTCTTAGGCTATAACAATGTTACTAATATTGTACCTACGTTTACTACATAATAATACGGATTAGAATAAATAAAAGAAATTATTGTAGCCTACGCTTCTTTAGAAATAAAAAAAATCACAATTTAACGTAGGCTATACATTTAAATTAAAATTTCTTACTTCATTGAACCTAAGATGTGTAGACGGAAGGGAAAATAAAGGAAAATAGGCGGCACTAAGCACACTATCTATTTATAAGCCACAGTTAAGAAACTAATGAGCTCTACTTCCTTTGCTCTATAGATCTTTGTTATGAATGACAATAGTATGATTGGTACTGATGACTGCAGTGAGAGGTTCAAGAAAACAATTTCAACTCCTTCATTTTAATGGTTTATACTTTAGTCTTGGATAACAAAGTAATATTGAACCTAAATAGTGGCAAGCTTTAGGGTTCAGCCCTACCACACTTTACACCACAAAATACGACTACATCCTAGCAAAGCTTAAGTTCAACTGTCCTATCTCTCGCCACCCAGTTTGGGGTCTATGCCCTGGCTTAACCTCGAATACAATAGGGTATCCCATTACGTGTTTCACCAAATTTGCATCCCAGGTCAAAGACCAGGCGACCTGTATTACCTCTAGCCTGCACTTCTCTAAGTAGGGCGGGGATGTCCCAGTTCAGCTGTGGGAGGGGGTGGGTGGGGAGTAGGTGTTAACCCACTAGCATCAATATTGGACTCAGTTATAACAATCGTTATGTTCTGTATAGGGAGCTTAACTACCTCTTAAAGTAAAGTAAAGTTTCTTTTTCAAACCTGACGGTCTATGGGGCAAATGAAGTAGAGTTTACTTGTTTATGTGACCTCGGCATTTGAAGACATAGTGTGGTCAGCACTATGCATAGTCGCCTTTTTACTTTCCCTAACGTGAGTTACCCATCAGAGTTGCGTGGACTCAGGGACGCTCTACTGACTTGAACCCGAATTCTAACTCGAAACTTACGAGTTAGCGGTCCAGCTCTCTACTGCTAGACCACTCCGTCCCATTTAACTACCTCTTAGACATACGCTAATTAAGTTTTTACAGGACCAATTTTATAGAACACTTTTACATTTTTATATTCCCAGTTAGTAACAAATCAATGCTAGTTCAGAGTTCAGCTATAATTGGCCATCCGGTAAAAGTGGTATGTGACGCGGATCTTTCGGGTGTGCCTAAAGAAACGAAAGGCTTGGAGTACCTGGAACTGACTTGGAGAAATGAGGACCATCAACGATTACCGTTGTCTGTGTTTAAAGAATATGTCAACATCTTAGAGGCAACCGTGAGTTTTGTTACATTAGACTTAATTTCTTCCTTATTTATGTTTGAAGTATATGTCAATACTATAATCAAACGTGAGGTTTTTATTTTTTTTTAATTTTTAGACCACTATCTGTGTTTATATACATTATGGAGTCAGAAGTGAGTTTTGTCCCATTAGAAAGTTTATTCCTTATCTGTATTTGAAGTATATGTCATTACTATAGTCAAGAGTGAGTTGTTTTTTTTTTAATCTAGGATATTACCCCCCCCCCCTGTCAACTTCCCTCGGCCATCTCCCACGACGTTACCCCCCCCCCCCCCCCCTTCAGCAGCAACTACGCCCTCTCATTTATCCCCTTTCAATTACCTCTTGTCAATTAACCTCCTGGATTTTGGACTTACTTTATTGCAGCTAGTAGTCTAAATGTTCATTTAATTTTTTTTTTAAATCTTCCATATTAATTATTTTAAGCATAATTTATTAGTGGTTATAAATTTATATCTTGTGAGTAATTGTTATGTCCCTTGTATAACATATAACTCAGTTATGTCCCTTGAGAATGTAATACATGAGCTGTGTGTTTACGTAGGGCAAATACTGTCCGCGACACCTGGAGTTATAAGTTGTCAGAGATTGTTCTGGACACTTTTAATACAATGTTAAAGTAAACTTAATGGCGTCTATTGTTGTGTTCTCAGGATAATGATTTGAGTAATTTAGCAGTGCTTTAAAATATACACGATTCTTCTTTTAAATTTAACCAGGCCACTTTTAAAACCTACATTAAAAATTACCCATATATAAATTTGTTGTAAAAGTTGTGCATAAATATAAATGCTTTAATCGTACTTTATCATAAAAACCAATAAATAAATCAATAAATAAATTAATTAATAAAATATAAAAAAAAAAGTTTTTAAAAAAAATTAAAAATTCATAAGCCGATTTCCTCAAAATCAACAAAAAGTTTCGTTATAGGCCTTCTCAATTACCGTAAGTATCTTTTTTTTTGTCCCGACGTGTAGCACACGGTAAGAAACATAATGCTTCCATCTTCGGAGCACAACTGGTCGATCAACAGCACCATGGCGAGACTCCACCCCCACACGTTAAACTTAGACAGGAACTCAATCACGGTGGAACTCATCATCGGTGACTTTAAAACCGACGACGTCGGCATGTTCTGTTGCAGTGCCAGCTACATGGACATGCTGGATGAAGGCCACTTAACATACGGCTGCCAGAGCTTGTCCAGTAAGTAGGGCAGGAAGCACGATGTGACAGAAGTAAGGTACTGTATCGTCTCTGTCTTTGTACTATTTTTAAACAGAATAGGTGTCATCAATAAACGACATCACGTTTATTCAACTATTTTTACATACCCCGTCCATTAAATGATCAAATAACGTTACAAGAAAATATCCTTCTAAAACTATGTCTACATTGCTTCTTAATCCACGATCCAACTGCAATTTAACTGCAATTTTTAATTGTATACTAGAATACCCGTCATCCGTTGGATAACTGTGGGTTTCGGGGGTCATCCATCAAAAAACATCACGTCTGTCACTCAGAGGCATAGCGACCCTTCCCGGCGCCCGGGGACAAAGTTTTCGATTTGAACCCCCCCCCCTCAAACTTTTGATGTGCACCCCCCCCCCCCCCCCACTCAAACTTTCGATTTGAACCCCCCTCAACCTATCAATTTATTTTTCCAAACCATTTTGGCGCCCCAACATATGTCCCCCCCCCCTTCCCCCCCTCCACCTCCCCCCCGCCTCCCCTCCCCACCCCCCGCCTCCCCCTCCCCACCCCCCGCCTCCCCTCCCCACCCCCCGCCTCCCCTCCCCTACCGCCCCCCCCCTCCTCGGTACGCTACTGCAGTGTCACTTATCGTCACAAAAAACAGACCCCACATTCAAATATATGTTTTTTTATCTTTTAAAAACACCGAAAACACCGATTTCGGACTATCCCTTCATAAACTGACGTCACAGGTGACCTACTCAACTCTACTTCACCTGCCCAGTGTCCTGCCAAGTCTCAGACAACATGTTTTTATCGTTTAAAAAACAATTCCAGCCGAGCATGTATCTGACCACACTATCCTTTCATATGCTTAGGACAAAGAAACAGATGAACTCTACTTCACCTGCCCTGTATCTTGCCAAGTTCAGATAGGCAACGTTATCATTCACATCTAAAAAAAAAATTGAAAAAAAAAATTTCATTGACATATTGGTCCTAGAACCCGTGCCTCCTGCATGAGAGCTGACTACGCTACCATTTTAGCTATTTACTCGTGACGTCACAAGTGAATTTTTATACTATACTATGTGTCTCCTTATGCAACTTGATTTACGCGTATAGATTCTAGATCTAGATCTAAAAATAAGTCTAGTAGTACTAACTTTCAAATTAAATTTTATCTTAAATAAGCCAAACAAAGATTTATATAAAATAATTAAGGCCTGAAATAGATTCTAGATGTAGAATTTACATTGAATCTAGTGACCTACATCTAGGCTAGATCTAGATCTAGATCTAGGCTAGATTCATAAATTTCCTTCGATAGCTGATCTTTAGATCTAGAGAAATTTATCGTAAAACTAAATGAAAAAGACAGTTGAAAATTGATATAAGTGTTGGAACGTAATAAATACAGCAAACGGACGTATTGTTAAAGTTATGACCGACAGAAAATTAGATTTAGAACGCGTTAAACTTTTGAATGGGAACACAATTTTCTTCAATAGACGCCGCCATTTTATTGTACTAAAGAGTAAACAAAAACCTGTGACGTCACGGTCCCGCCGAGTCTAGTGGCTTTTCAAATATTTTTTAAAAAAATGGGTTATTCTGCGTAGGAATAAATCAATAAATTAATTAACGTCTTTAAATAAATGTGTGATTAACAGTCTGTCTGCATTAAAAAATTATTCTCTACCTGCATACCATTTTACAGCTTTCCAGATAGAGTCGAACATATCACAATTTTCGATCAGGCAAACAAATAAATATTCAAACATGTAAACAAAGTTGAGTTTTAGTAGTATACTAGAATACCCGTCATCCGTTGGATAACTGTGGGTTTCGGGGGTCATCCATCAAAAAACATCACGTCTGTCACTCAGAGGCATAGAGAGCCTTCCCGGCGCCCGGGGACAAACTTTTCGATTTTAACCCCCCCCCCCCCCCCAAGATTTCGATTTTCAACCCCCCCCCCCCTCAAACTTTTGATGTGCACCCCCCCCCCCCCTACTCAAACTTTCGATTTGCACCCCCCTCAACCTTTCAGTTTATTTTTCCAAACCATTTTGGCGCCCCAACATATGTCCCCCCCCCGCCCCCCTTCCCCCCTCCACCTCCTCCCCTCCCCCCCCCCCCCCCCGCCTCCACTCCCCCTCCCACCCCCCTCCTCGCTACGCTACTGCAGTGTCCACTTATCGTCACAAAAACAGACCCCACATTCAAAAATATGTTTCATATCTTTTAAAAACACCGAAAACACCGATTTCGGACTATCCCTTCATATACTGACGTCACATGTGACCTACTCAACTCTACTTCACCTGCCCAGTGTCCCGCCAAGTCTCAGACAACATGTTTTTATCGTTTAAAAAACGATTCCAGCCGAGCATGTCTCTGACCACACTATCCTTTCATATGCTTAGGACAAAGAAACAGATGAACTCTACTTCACCTGCCCTGTATCCTGCCAAGTTCAGATAGGCAACTTTATCATTCACATCTAAAAAAAAAAAATTGAAAAAAAAATATCATTGACATATTGGTCTAGAACCTGTGCCACCCACATGAGAGCGGGCTACGCTACCAACTTAGCTATTTTCTCGTGACGTCACAAATGAATTTTTATACTATACTTTTGAGTCTCCGCGCATAGATCTAGAGATCTTTAAATCTAGAGAAATTTATTGTAAAACTAAATGAAAAAAGACAGTTTAAAATTGATATAAGTGTTGGAACGTAATAAATACAGCAAACGGACGTATTGTTAAAGTTATGACCGACAGAAAATTAGATTTAGAACGCGTTAAACTTTTGAATGGGAACACAATTTTCTTCAATAGACGCCGCCATTTTATTGTACTAAAGAGTAAACAAAAACCTGTGACGTCACGGTCCCGCCGAGTCTAGTGGCTTTTCAAATATTTTAAAAAAAAATGGGTTATTCTGCGTAGGAATAAATCAATAAATTAATTAACGTCTTTAAATAAATTTGTGATCAACAGTCTGTCTGCATTAAAAAATTATTCTCTACCTGCATACCATTTTACAGCTTTCCAGATAGAGTCGAACATATCACAATTTTCGATCAGGCAAACAAATAAATATTCAAACATGTAAACAAACTTGACTTTTAGTAGTATATAGATAGATTTTAAGAAATTGATTTATTTCTAAAGTGTTTTTGGGGTTCGACAACTTTGAGTATATTGATATATTTATATAACTATTAACAATGTTTTAGAAAAACGCGAAAGGTCAGCGTAAGTTCTGTTATGTATATATATATATATATATATATATATATATATATATATATATATATATATATATATAAATATATATATATATATATATATATATATATATATATATATATATATATATATATATATATATATATATATATATATATATATATATATATATACAATATAATTACTTTAACTTTATAAGAATGTGAATGTTTCTTTTTTCTAAATGTAGTGGGTATTGTGTTCTCATCCAATGGATTCTGCAACGTGCAAGCAAGCAACTATCTAATATTTCTTTCAATTGCTGGGATTCTAAAGTTCTACTTGTAATCTACTGGGACCCGTGTGCAACAGTCAAAAATTTTTCCATCGGGTTTTTTTTAATTAAATAAAAAAAAAATATTCTAACATCACTTCTAAGTTTATTTTACTTAACATCGAACGGCAAACACAACATTGTGAAACAAAAATTAAAATAATCAATTTACCTAAACACAATATTTTGTTTATTGATGTTTAGTGTGAGTGTTTGTTTTATTTGAGGTTGAATATGATACAACGTGCGCGTCACACTTGTGTAGCGAAAAAGAAAACGTGTGTATAAGGAACAGAGTAGTGGCGTCTCTAGGTCAAGTGTCACCCTGTGCGGCACTACATGGTGTCACCCCTCTCCTCTGTAACAATATATACACACACACACACACACACATATATATATATTATATATATATATATATATATATATATATATATATATATATATATATATATATATATATATATATATATATATATATATATATATATACATATATATATATATATGTATATATATATATATATATATATATATATATATATATATATATATATATATATATATATACATATATATATATGTAGATGAAAATCTATATAAAATTAAATATACATTATGCAGTTGATGTCACCTCCACCCCCCCACCCCCTAAGAACTGAAGCTCCAAAGTGTACAATTAATAGTAACGATGTATATTTATAGTCAAATACAATGTCAGCTGAATGTACCGTTGTTTTCTCTACAGTTGGCAAGTTAACTTAAGCATGACCCCCTACCTCCCTCCCATTCATCTTGCCTAGATCAACAGTTTGTACTTGAAATATCATTAAACTTTAATTAACCGTTAACTAACTGCCAAAAAGCATTTTCTAAATGGTGTCACCCGGTGCGGTATGTATCCCTACTCCCTCGCGACGCGTGGAACAGAGTGAACCCCCCTCCTATACTTTATCGTATATTCACATACAACAATCTAAAAGTTGGAAATGCAGTAAATGGTGGATAGGTTTGTGGCCAAAACTCTCATTTTTTTCATGTGAGAAATCATACACTGTCAAAAAGTCCAGAGAAACATACATATAGGATCAGCTACGTATATGTGAAATTTCGTCCTTCTAAAGCCGTACATATGTTATGATGTTTGCATATTGGCCTACACAAACAGACACATTAAGAAAAAATAATTAAAAAAACGGATTTTACTTCCTACTTAGGGGACAGTAAAACGTCGAGATAAGTTAATACGTCGTTTAAATCTTTGAAAGGAAATCACACAATCTGGGTCAATGACATTCACGATTGTTAAATTGGTTCTTTATCTTTTTTCCGTTTTTGTCCACGGCACTTAATGAAGATGAAGTAGAGTTTGTGAAAATGATGACCCTTATGTATCATACCGACTGAAATGTGATAGCTAAATATATAAGAAGAAAAGCTTGAGCCTATGATATTAAAATATCTACTATAATTAAGTGTCTACATATGATTGATAGAAAGATAAAAAAGAAATATTACAGTAATACATTAAACGTGGGCGCTGCAACGTTTAATAACCGGGCAAGGGACTTCAGGCTGTTCCTGAGTCCATCCAGCTCTAATGGGTACCTGGCTCACGTAAGGTAAAGTAAATATGGCTGGACATAGTGCTGAACACATCCTACCTTTAAAAATGCAAAGATCAACCAATACGAACTCTACTTCACCTGCCTGATAGATCGTTAGTTATCAAATGGGAATCTTACATTATTTATGTTGATTCTCATCTTTAAAAGAGCTTAATAAATATGTAAACATGTTACACCTTACAATATTAAGTTTTATATCTAGGTCATCCATAGTATTTAACTATTAAATACAAACATACATTTTTTTTTACTAACCCTGAAAGGTTATCTAATAAATGACTATAGGGTTATACATTGAAGGACTTGTAAATGTTATTACTAATAATCTAAAAATAAATATTAACGACAATGAAATCATTTAACCCGGAAATAAGGCATAGTTGTGCAGATGAATGATTAGATAAATTGTACACGATTCATCGCTAGAGACTCGATGATCTAAATGTCGAGTAGATGAAAAACTATCAGTTAAAACATCTTGTAAGGGTCTATAATCTCATGTCATGGCCACTTTGTGAGTCACTATCAATAGAGGCGTAGGTTGGAGCTTAACATTATTTTTTTAACACTTAAAGTCAAACATACACGGGAGGGTGCAATTTTCCTCTATATACGGTATATAAAAATAATAAAAGTGAATTGCAGTGACACCGTTCAGCCGATAGGCATGAAAGTTTGGGGAGTTCAATAGAATACTCTATGGAAGGGTTCTGCAATAAAAATCATTTTTAATTTCGCAATTGCGGCGCCACAGGAGTGTGCGATTTTTCACTATGTACGGTATATAAAAATAAAAGTCGATTTTGGTTTGACACCGTTCATCCGATCACCATCAAACTTTGGTGAGTTCATAAGAACACTCTGGGGAAGGGTTCTGTAAAAAAAAAAAAATCATTTTTTAATTTCACAAAGACGGCGCCACGGGAGGGTGCGATTTTTCACTATGTACGTATATAAAAATAATAGTCGTTTTTTTGTTTGACAGCGTTCATCCCGATAGGCATCAAACTTTGGGGAGTTGATTAGAACACTCCAGGGAAGGGTTCTAGTAAAAATCTTTTTTTTTTAAATTTTGCAAGGGTGGCGCCACGGGAGGGTGCTATTTTTTCTATATACGGTATATAAAAATTAAAGTCAACTGCGGTTTGATATCGTTCATCCGATAGCCAACAAACTTTGGGGAGTTAATTAGAACACTTCTGGTTAGATTTCTGTAAAACAGTCTTTTTTTATTTCGCAAGAGCGGCGCCACGGGATGTTGCGATTTTTCTCTATATACGGTATATAAAATTAAAAAGACAATTGCGGTTTAATACAGATTATCCGAGTTGGTGAATAGTCCCGAGAAGCTTTCTAAGGTGGGAGGTGGGGGGTTGGTGGATGGTGGTGGGAGGGAGGGAGGGGAGGGAGGGAGGATTTCATTTTGCATGGGCGGCCCCCCAGCAGGATGCGATTTGGCGCCCTGGTCTTTCCCGCTATGGCAACTACATTCAGTCTAAACATTGTGATTGACAATGCATAGGATGGGGCGTTACAAAACGCTCACTAAATTGAATCAGGCGTGTCCGCCGGCGCCCTGGTAGAGTGCTATTTGGCGGCACACACAAATTTCAATTTCGACCCCTAAAGGGCCATGTAATACGTTTTATTCTAATAATCAGAAAAATAAACTAAGGTTAGATTTTTAACTGGGATGTTTCTTTTTGTCCGTAAAAAAATCCAAACAGTTTCGTCACATTGCGAATGATGCAATTAGAATCTATTTTTAGACAAATTGAGATCGAGCATCTAATAATAGACCAGTAGAAACACTAACATATTGCATCATTCACACTGTTGTTTAAAACACGTCAAATATTTTATTACGTATTAAAGAAAACATACTGTTCTTTTGTGTCACTTTAGCGAATGACGCAATCTGCTTCATCGTTAACAGGATGCTATTTGGCACGATGGCGCCTGTTAGTTTTAAGGAGCCGGGGGTCGTACTCGGCGCCTATGCGGTAGTGTAATCGGGGGGGGGGGGAGCGCTTGAGAGCGCCACTCTATGACCTTGACACATGGGCGGTCACCTAAGTGTGTTCTACCTAATTTTTTCGGTGATTGATTAATGTACACTCCCGATTTTCATGCGGTAGTGTAGGTAAACCCGTGTCAAAGATTTATGATCCAAGCGTATGCATTGTTGACATTGTATGCATTGTTGACATTTAAATAACTCACTTTTAGAAAACAAGGTCACAAGAATATAGTATTGGTAATGCATGGATGAAACCCTTCTTATATATTTCGTCGGACTTTCTTCTATTCCCAGGGCAACGCGCGGCGACGGGTACGCTAGTATATATATATATATATATATATATATATATATATATATATATATATATATATATATATATATATATATATATATGTATATATATATATATATATATATATTTATATATATATATATATATATTATAATATATATATATATATATATATATATATATATATAAATATATATATATATATAAATATATAAATATATATATATATATATATATATTTATTTACTTATTTATTTATTTATATTTAAACAAATATGTATATATAAATATATATTTATATCTTATCATATATGTATATATATATATATATTTATATATATATATTGATATATATATATATATATATATATGTATATATATATATATATATATTTATATATATTATATATATATATATATATATATATATATATATATATATATATATATATATATATATATACATAAATTACGTTGTTAATTAAACAAGATGACAAAATGCAAAAAACAAACAATAATAGTCGTTTACCTGGTTGTATGTCTTAAGCCATTCACTGATCAGATGTCAAAGATAATAGAAATCTACTTCCCCTCCTTATGGTTTAAAAGAAGAAACACTCCTTAAATTGCGTCACTTGATGAATTATATGATTAAACGTCTGCATCATGATACGCAAACTTCACATCGCTTTGGTATTAATAGAGTTATATCTTAATTTTGGTCATGGTAAGTTCATATTAGACGTTTTATTTAAACATACTTAAGGATAGGTTTCAATACAGATACATACAATTGTAAGACTTAGGGAAACAATTTTAAATTAATGTTATTTAATATGTATACATTGGAGAATTAAGATTTTTGTTAAACTAATTGAGATTATTAGAAAGAACAAAAATCTATAAAATATATGTTATAATTAAATGCAAAGGTTAATGTAAACAAAAGTAAGTTTTAATTAATTTAACTACTTATTTGTAAAGATTTTATCAAAAAGTGTCAACTACCAAACATCTTTTATTTTTATATATTTTTAATTAACATTACTTTTAAGCCGATTTCTTCCAAAATACGCATCGATTGTTCCACCTATAAGCTAGTGAATATATTTTGTTAAAACGAATCAAGTTTCAGGATTAGATTTCCAACTGGAGGACACGTGGTGCTACACGTCATACGAAAACGTGTCTGATGCATTGGTCACCGTAGCCACGGCAACCAGTCAACAAGTCAAGGACGTAAATGTTAACATTTTAACCAAGACAGAAACGGGCGACTTTAGAAATGTAAGCTTATATTACTTAAAACAATACTTTGTTTACTGATATAATTTATGTCGTTTATTTAATCCCGAGAGCCCCTTTAGGTTTATTAAAATTCAAATGAATACACACTCAATTATATATATATATATATATATATATATATATATATATATATATATATATATATATATATATATATATATATATATATATATATTATATATATATACATATTAGTAGTTTCGCTGTCTGTCTATGTATGTATCTATCTATCTATTTATTTATCTATCTATCTATCTGACAAGAATCCTGTAGTGAAAACACAAGCAAAATAAAAAAAATTCATAGCAAAACGAAAACGAAACATGACGTCACATTAAGCATATAGTATGAAATAGTCGGAAGCCGGGAGAGTGCACATAATAATATGACGTCATTTATTCTAGAGTAACCAATAAAATAAAAAAATAATAAATTTATGCCGCCCCCCCCCCCCCCTCAAAAGAAATGACGTCATCGATACTCTTTAATAAAAACACAGACATTACGGCTTCATTAATGTGTCTAAACGTTAAAGTGTTTTGCGTGAAGTGTTTCTTTTATGCATCTCATCGGGTTGGGACGAAGCCCCACCACCGGTTGAAAGTCTATGCCGACCCCCCCCCCCCCAAAGAAATGACGTCATCGCTACTTCATAATAAAAATTATGTGTCTAATGTTAAAAAGTGTTTTGCGTCAAGAGTTTCGCTTCTGGTAGGGGCTAAGCCCTTTACCCTTCCCCCCCCCCCCTTCCCCGAAAACAGCGTACTATAATTAATATAGAAGATTTATACTTTTACCAGTGTCATCCTCCCCCGACACGTCGAAATTTATTCGCCCCTGCAAAAAATCTAGTGCCCCACCCCCGAAAAAAAAAGCCTGAAACGAAGATTGCTGCGTGAGTAAAATCAACCGGCCAAAAGTAGGAAACAGGTCTATATTATAGAAGTAGGCTCTACCTTTAGTTTATATGAGCTACAAATGCGACCAGTGTTTCTTTCAGAGTTATTCCTCTCCAGAGGGGGGGGGGGGTTCTTGAAATTTTCGGCGGTGAGGGTGGACCGAATTGTTTAGAAGTGGGGGAATACAGGTAAAAATATTTTTTTCTATAACGAGTATATTTCGTTGCATGGGACAGTAGACGTGCTTTATGGTGTGAAGGGTGAGGGTGCGTGGGTCGGAGCCCCTCCCCTCCCCCCATAAATGCGACCTACGTCGTGTTTTAAAGATTAGGTGCAAGGTTCAGTGATATGACTTTCACTATGTTTAAAATCAATATGCAGTAACTACGCGCAGATCAAGCTTAATTCCGGTTATATTGCTGATTCTGGCTAGAAATCCATTTTCAATGACACTTTTCGTTTCCGGTTAAAATTTAGGTTGTGCTGGTGATTTTGGTTTTAGTTTAGGTAAATGAGACAGCACTATCAACCTAGCGCCCATTGTATCCTTTCTCAACGGGCCATTTTTCTAGTATATATATATATATATATATATATATATATATATATATATATATATATATATATATAAGTGTATTTGCAATCATAGATTATGTAAAAGAATATATAAAACTCTTATAAATTATATATATATATATATATATATATATATATATATATATATATATATATATATAATATGTGTGTGTGCAATTGTAGATTATGTAAAAGAATTTATAAAACGTATAAATCAAGAAGTGTGTGTGTGTGTGTGTGTGTGTGTGTGTGTGTGTGTGTGTGTGTGTGTGTGTGATTTCGATATTTGATTACTCTACATTTAGTAATAACTATACTGATCACAGTTCTGCATTGTTCCTATTGTGAACAATACGTGCAAACGGTACAACAAGCAGGCCTGTATGTGTGTATCTCGCAACTCAAGTGAGATCACTCTTGCCATTAAATCGACTGATCTAAAGAACAAAGTGGGACTGCGACTGTCGTTGAATAGCGAAACGACTGATAAGATGTGCGGTAAGATAACTTGTTTTTTTATAAGAAATTAAGTCTGATAAAATAATTATTTTCTTAATGAAAATAGATTCTTAATTTTAGTTATGTTGTTTAAAAAAATGTTATCCGTCAGACTAAATGATTTACTTGACAGATGAAGTAGAGTTAAAATGTTTGATTATTCAGGTACATGAAGAGTTGGTGTCGTCAGCACTATGCCTAGTTGTTTTTATTTTCCCTATATTCACACTGGTACCCATCAAAGCTAGGTGGACTAAGGGACATCCTGCCTACTCAAGTCCTGACTGAGATTCGAACTCGAGACTCTCAGTTTAAGAGTCGAGGGTATTCATTGTTGTATACAACGAATTATGACATATTTCTCGATGTTTATTTTTTAGCGTCAGAGTTTATACCAAGGGGATTAATGAATTGCTTTTTTTTTACTTTCTCGTATATACAAAGTTTAGAGAAAGTCTTGTAATCGTGCAAAAAAAAAAAAAAAAACGCGATTTTTCCAAATCTCGACATTTTTACCTCCCTTAGTAGGAAAAACATAGTTTTGCAATCTTGTCCGTATGTATGTGTGTGTGTGTGTGTCTTTTTGTGTGTCTGTAAACACGATAACTTGAGTACAGCTAGGTTGATGAAATTTCATATATAAGTATTATGTCAAAATCGTATATTCGTATCAACTTTTGAGCGATTTCCAAAAAATGGAAGTTGAATTTTTTTCTACTTTCATTTTTTTTAAAGCCTATATTTTGAATACTTTTTCAGATAGATAAATGAAATTTCAAATGTAAATAAATGATCTAATTATCTGCCTTTTGACAAAGTTTGAGTTATTTCCGTTAACCGAAAGTAGTAATTTGATATTTCCGATTACTCAAAAAACGCATGTAAATTTATAAAGTACTAATAATATTCCGCACTATTATACACATTTTGTTTTGCGTTCACTTGGGTGTGCAACGTTTCTTCTACGAGATTCTATTTTAAAAAGTTTAAGTAATCGAAAATTTTAAAAAATCATGTCTATATCCCTAGTCGCCCCCGCAGTGTGTTATATTTTTAAAAATCTATTTCCTCAGTCACTACACAACGCATCAATTTTTAAAAGCTTATGTAGATGCAGGCATCACTTTTATAAACGACAAAGTATGATCTCAATAAAAATAACTAAATTTCTTTAATTTTGTAAAAAGAAATAAAACGATATGTACGATTGAGATATCACAGAGAAACCATTTACATTTATTCTATGTTAAATTAAGCCCAACAAACGAAACAACCGTCGAGCTTGATGTCTAGTTCACAACAGACCTCACCAGTTGCAGCTAAATGTAAGTAATTTTAATTGTTCTTACGTTCACAATGTACATATACAACCCAACGTTCTTTTATAATAAGTTAAAAAGAAAACTTCACCATTATAAAAAAAACAATATCGTAGCTAACTTTACTTTCCTTTAAACAAAAAATCGTTTGAATGTGTCGATAAAGAAAAATGTTTAAAAAAAATTCACAAAAAGATCGTAAATTTAAAAAAAAGTTTAGTAATCATCGACTATAGATCTACTTTGATAAAATCGCTAATTAAAACTATGATATCGAATAAACTCACATCTATTTCTAGACAACGGTAGAACTTAAATAGGCCTACTTGTATAAATACATATTAAAGGTACGTAACTTTGTATGATGGTCTTACGCTAAGTCCTAGCCTCCATTTATAAACTTTCATTGTGTGTTACTCAGTTTATATCTACATTCGTCAACAAATCTCAAATTACACACACAGTTTTATGTTGTCTAGATGCATATAGCGCAGAGTCAAAAACTGCTTCAACTGTGGCAACCGAGGCCATACAAGTCAGACTTCCGGAAATTATCTATATTGTCGTCGCCAGTGTTGTGTTAACCACAGCTCCATTCGCGATCTGGATGTTGATCAGGAGAGGTAACTCTTGTAATCTTGTAGATCAAAATAGGTAACTTGTAATCGTATAGAACAAGAAAGGTTACACTTGTAATTGTATAGATTAAGAAAGATAACTCGTAAATATTAATAGTAAAAATAGGAGAGGTAACTCTTGTAATCTTGTAGATCAAAATAGGTAACTTGTAATCGTATAGACTATAGACCAAGAGAGGTTACTATTGTAAATGTATAGATCAAGAAAGATAACTCTTGAAATTGTATGGATCAGGAAAGGCAACTCTTGTTATTGTATAAATCAAGAAGGGTAGCTTATAAATCTTATAGACCAAGACATGTGGCGTTGGTAATAGAATAGGTCAAGAAAGGAAAATTATGTAATCTTATATTTTAAGATAGAAAACTTGTAATCGTATACACCAAAAAAAGTTACTCTTGACATCGTATAGATCAAGAAAGGTAATTCAACGAAACCAGTTGGCTGATTTTGGGTCTGAAGCCTCGCATAATTCCCTCCCCATTCCCAACCCTTTAGATGGGGTTCTTGTGTGGATTCCAATTCTTGAAGCTCTATACCGACAGACATAACGAGACTGCAATTTTAATTGTACTTGCGCTAGCACGTCATGAAAGATAAATAAATAATTATATATATATATAAATATATATATATATATATATATATATATATATATATATATATATATATATATATATATATATATATATATATATATATATATATATATATATATATATATATAATTATATATATATCTGTATATTTAAATTTCAGTCATATGCAAGCCGAGTTTAAGCATTAAACAAACGTAAGTATTAAAACGTTCTTTCACTACATTTGTGTTAAGTTTCCTTTATAACAAAATGTGGGAATTGTGTATTTAAATTTTTGTAGAACAAACATTTGTTTTTATATAGGAAAAATTGAGATTACTTTAACTTTTTATGAACGTTAATTAAATAAAAGAAAACCTTTTTCAATCTCTATATTATATATATATATATATATATATATACATTCAAATAAAAGTGTAGATATTACAATTGTAAATCACCGTACAATGAAACCGTTTTGAGCATGCAATTTATAATCGAAAATTTCCAAACGTGTTTATTTGATTTGTAGCTAATGTTACTTATGCAAAAGCTTGTGAGAATGTCTAATTTACAAAAGTTTTATTGTAAAATAAGTTATAGAGTGCAAAATATTAAATGCTATGTTGACGTGCACTTATAAACTATTTATGAAATATATTGTTTATATAGAGAAGCCTAATGAGTTATAATAAGCAATGTTTGAATATTGTGAAGATATAGATAATTTAATATTTTAAAAATGAACATACTACTATTTAATAGCAAATCGTAAGTTATAAATAAGATTTGTCTTTTTTTTTAAATAATTAAATGTATTTAAAAAAAGTTTTTTGGTCCTTAATTCAAACTGCTTAACATAATAATATTTACTTTTTGTTACTGAATAGCTGTTGAAAGTATTTTTTTTTTCAGCGAATTTATTGGCGATCCCGATGCAGAAAGATACGTTATGAGTACGGTTTTACTTTTATTTATCATTGTAATAATTCGTAATTTAATTTTTTTTTATAATCACGCAACGAAGGCGACACAAGTATTAGGTTACAGTAGTGTACCAAACTTATTTGTAGTTTTAACATTAGCTTATATTTGCATGAATTTTACAAAATGATATTAAATGCTTTGAAATTAAACGATCTCATCACACGCAATACTGACGCCTCTCTCTCTCTCTTTATATATATATATATATATATATATATATATATATATATATATATATATATATATATATATATATATATATATATATATATATATATACATATATATATATATATATATATATATATATATATATATGTATATATATATATATATATATATATATATATATATATATATATACATATACAAATATGCGTTTATGTATTCACAAATACAGTTAACGATTCTGGAAACAAAGATTCCGGTCACTACAACAACATAAGACGCGGCTTCACTGATCTGACTATCGGAGGGGATGGCAAGCCAATGCGCGTGGATGAAATGTACATCGACGTTGTTGACCACTATGACGTCATTGATCATGTGTACGCTAGTACAGATCCAGAGCAGGAAGAGCCGTACGATGACCAGGAAATGTAGTTTTGGGAAATAAAGGCACTTCTACACGTCATCAAGATCCTTTAATACACATTTAGTGTATACAAATACAAATGAGAAAAGCCAGTGCAGTCAAGCGCTTTAATAATATAAGAGTTGCACCCCCTGTTGTAATGATGCAACTTGTTTACTTTGAATTTGGTATATAAAACATCAGTCATTATCTGACAACAACCCTGAGCAATGTAGTTCTATATTTTTGCATTTGTGTGTTCTTTTTTTTCTACTTTTCATGTTGCGTGCTACCTTTAATGTATTGCCCTTTTCATTTAAATTTACACCTCCAGTTTTAATATTATATATATATATATATATATATATATATATATATATATATATATATATATATATATTAAATGTATACCATCAAACTATTATTTTTGGAGCTTAACTCTGCTTGAAATATTCTGCAGTTAATTGAACATTATACAAATGCTTACATATTTCTATTGTCTATAGTCTATAGCAATCTATATATTTTTCATGTAGTTGTGTTAAAAAAAATAAACATATAGCATGCTGCTCTATAGATGTATTTTCATGTTTTATGTACTGCATATTCATCTTTTAAAAAATATACAGAAAAGGTTGTGTTAGGGCGGGCTTAGATCTAAGCAGCAAAAAGGCTGGGTCTAGTATACTAGTGTTCTAACGGCATAGGCAGCGACAATGATTCACAACCATATATCTTTAGCTTTTTGTAAAGAGGGGGGGGGTGGACTGTCTTGCACAAAATAGAAATGAATTTAAAAAAAAATAAATATCGAACTTTCACACCTCCCATAATTAGAAAAACTCAGTTTTCCAAATGGTTTTGTCTGCATTTTTTTTAATACATTAAGATATTAATTACAAGAACAGTACAAATGATGAGAATCATGATGAGGTGTACAACCTGACTATAAATATCTCAGTTTTCTCCAGAACATTATGATAAACACATTTTTACAAGTTTGTGATTAAATTCAAAATGAACAGGAAAAATATATATATAATAGAACTAAGCAGATTCAGTTGTTTCTGTGGTGCCATTCGATGATTCGAGTCTGTCTTTGCCTTTTTCTTCGGACTTTCATCTTCTGCATCTTCACTTTCTTTTTCATCTACTGATCGCTTTTCTGCTGTTGTTTCTTCTGTTGTTGATTCTGTCTCTTCTGAGCTAGAATTTTCATTTGTATTTTCTTCTGAATCTTCTGTTTTTGTGTTTTCTTCTGTTTGTTCTTCCACTTCAGCATCAGCCTCATCAGCTTTGCCTTTCACATCTTCAACTGTTTTGCTACAATTGGCTCTGTGGTCTCTTTTGTTTCTGACTAGTCAGCAACATCATCCTTTGTTCCAGGCATTGTAAAATTGTGTGGTTTTCAGCGGACGACGACAGAAACGCTGTTGTTCCTTCCACGACAAAGAACGAGATTTTTGCGGTTTTGTCTGCATTCATGTGTGAAGGTGTAAGTGTCTACACCGTCCTTTAAGCGTAACATTATTTAATTATTTCTTCCATGATTTCAGTGGCTTTCAGAAACCGGAAGTGGTAGTTTATTATCATGTTGTCAAGAAGAAAAAAAAACACCTGTTATATAAATATTTTAAGAATATTATCATGCAGCAGACGGTACAACCACACCTTTCTCGGAAGTGCCATCCCAACGCTTCATGTTTCCAAAAATATCAGAATGTTTATGTAAACTTACTCCCCTCTAAATTTGTATTGTTCTATGAAAACGTCTTGTTTTTTTGCACTTTTAAACTTTTATTCTAAGAAACCGCTCCCTTGGGGTCTTTAGGTGCGGTTGACAAAAACAGAGTTCCTTTAAGAATTTTTTTCTTTAGGAATGTTAGGAGGGTGGGAGGAGAAGGGAGAAGGGATGCGCTTAAAACTTCCGGTGAGGGGGGGGATAAAAAAGTATTTGAAACTCAACATTCTTAACAGCTACAACTACATTCTTTTAAAAAATACTATGATTAACGTACATGCCGACAGCACAGTACGTTTCCTGTGTTTAACATTGTTAAAGGGCTCGTAATAGAGCGAACAGGTAATTTTAACATGTTTCATTCAGATAATTTTCATAGGTTTCATTCAGATAAGCTCAGCAGGGTTCATTCAGGTAATTTTAGCGGGATTCATTCAGATAATTTTCTCTGCTTGATTGAGGATGGGGGTGGGGGACTTGAAATATACATGTGGAGGTAGTTGAAGTGTTTCGCTAGATATTTTTTGTCGGTTTAGTCCAGGTGTGGAGAGGGGGTAATAGAGCGCAGTAGCCAAGCAGTTTGGGGGGGGGGCAAGGTCACTCACACCAACATGGAGAGATGACTGAAATATACACAGGCTGGTTAGATAGCATTGCCGATAGCATTCATGAACGCCACAACTGAAAGTTGAGTTAATACAACGCTGGGGTTGTCCTTCAACCCGTCTAGCCAGGATCGTGGTTTTCAAATCGTTTATGTCATGCCAACCGTCATGACTCTATTCGAAATTACAAAACTAAAACCTTGAAGAAACAATTAAGAAATTTAAAAAAACACACATCAACCTTCTCATGGAGGCTCAGGGAGGTTGCTGTGCTTTTTTTTTTATCTGGGATGCGATAAAAAATTATGGGATGGATGTAAGTCGAGTAAAAAAATGGATTGCATGTCCAAGACTAACTTTATTTTTTGCTTTACATAGCGTTTATCTTGTCTTTTTAAAACATAAAATGCTTTGTTTACAAATAAACGACGCTCAAAATTTCGCGTATCTGTATATATATAAACGGACGCTCCTTCCAAGGCAGATTTAGGATGTGTCTTACTTATTTTTTTCCCACCGTGCATTTTTAAACATGTTTCTTTATTCCTACGTCTGGGTCACACCAAACTGTATAGTGATAAAAACAGTTTAGCCCGTAAACGGTGTTAAATAACTTTTTAGATATTTGCATTAGAAATATCTACAATTTTACTTGTCGGTTTTGTAAAAAAAAATTACAATTGCAAGTAATAAATAAAATATAACATTATACTATCGGTCATTAAGTTTTATAGGGTACTTTTAGCAGACATAGTGTAAACAGGGATGGGTGCCAATAAATAAATAAAAACGTCTTATTTTCTAAATAATTAATTATAATGTTAATTATAATGTCAATTTTACATAAAACACTTTTTGAAGCCGTTTAGGTATTAAGAGTGTCAATTAGACTGTGTACACAATAGAAGGTATTTGTTCAGTCTCAACACTCGGGTTGGATTTTTTTGAAATTTTAATTATAACAACATTGGTTAAATAACATAACGATACATACAGTGGAAAATCAACGCAAAAAAGGACAAAGAAACAATGAAGAACAATAATTTAGCAAACGTTGTAACCATATCCCAAAGCCATAAATAAATTAAAATATTGTCACTTTAAAGATACATTTTGCAAAAGCTAATAAAAAACCTATTAAAACGAATGTTATGTCAACATTATTAACTTAAAAACTCATCATAAAGGATTAAGTAATAATAATAAATGACGCAGTGAAGAAAACTGTTTAAATAAAATAGTTTGAAAATTGCGTTAGTAGTAGAAGTCAGTTGGGCAAAAAACGTGTTTAATGGTAGCAGTTAATTGGTAAAATAATAGTTGAGCTTATGTAGTAACAAGACCCCGAACAGAATAGTAAAAATTGTTTTCGTTATTTATGTTGAAACGAAACAAACCGGTTTTTATATTTTAAAGAAATGTTAGTGTTGTCATATTTCAGTTTATCCATCTAGTCTAGAAACTCATAAGTACAGTTAAAAGATGCACAGACGGTTATATAATTTACATGACATATGTAGAGTCTACAATATGACTTCATATTTTAGGGTAGGAGGGCTTACTGTATAAAGTTAATTATTCAAAAATGTCAGAAAAGATAAACATAAATTAAGAAAAAAAATTATTTGGATAACAGAATGTTAGTAAGTTTTCCTGACTCGTGTTAGTAGAAAGTTGAGGAGGTTGGGCAAAATTCTCGCTACAATATCCCTGCATATGCCGACATCACAGATACACGTCAAGTCTACGTTATCTGCACCATGGACTATCAAGTTCGAAAGAGTAACATTGGCTTGTTTTTTTTACTCATAATTTATATTATGAAATGTTACGAAACATAAACAATTGGTATTTCAATTGATATATTAACATTTGCTATATATATTTTTCGGAATCCGGATGATTTCCACAAAGATAATTTCAGTTAAGTGGCTTTCAAGCTTTTGTCGCATTCGGGCAAGTGTCCATTTGGGGAATCGGCCTTAGGGTTAACGGCATACAAGCAAGTGTCTTTCGAGAATTTTTCGTAGACCCACATTTTTCTAATTAATAAATGTAATCAAAATATACTTTTTAATTTGAATTTAAAAAAATAATATTTTCCAATTTTATATGGTAAAAACGCATTCAATCCAAAACTGCTCTTATTTGAGAACAATTTGGTGATTCACCAATTTAAAAACGTAGCTACCAAACTATGTCTTTGTGAAAGTTACAGCCAACAGAAAACCGACCAGGCTCGAGAAATCACTCGCAGTTTTTTGAACAAAGAAATTTGCATGGCAACATTTTTAAGATAATAGGCGCAGATGTTGCACGCTGCGTACACAAAACATTTCCAGAAACGCACTTACCGCATGTACCAACAAACCAAATGCCAAATGCCAAACTCGTATATTATCATGGCACGCGCGCACCAAAAGTACACTCTTAAACTAGAGATACGATTCATCTACCCAAGTTTATGGAACAAAATGAGCCAGATGTACAGAGCCACAGTTCCAAAACACTCTTTTGAAAATAGTCATCGTTTTTTTACCAAATTATCAAAGTTTATATGGTGGGTTTCGGACCGGTCAGTTCTAAAGGCCTTTCGAAGTTTTCCCGAAGATAACGCCTATCTTATAGTGACCCCCGCGGGTATTTCTACGAACTCAGGAGTTATGAATGGGTGTGTGCGTCCAGATATTTGTATTTATTTATTTTTACAAAAACCGTGCTATATTTATGTCACGAAATATGGTCTCTGGTCAGTTAAAACATTTTTCCGGGGTTTTCCCGAGGGTGCCACTATTTTTTCTGACCCCCAAGGGCCGATATACAATCCCAAGAGTTTTCAAAGAGTTCCTACGTGGGAATTTTTTTTATGACTCATATATATACACATTTCACTCGTCGTCACATGTTAGCCATCGCCGTTCGAGTAGAGAATGACCAAAAGTTTATCCATAATGTCAATTCATTTACCCAGACCTATGCAACAAATGAGCCAGATGTACAACGGTAAGTGCCATAAAATCCGTGTTGCAATGACCCTCCGTTTTTCCAAAAAAAAAAAGATTATATTGGAAAATACAACTGGTCAGTTTGGACAACTTTACAAAGTTTTCCCAGATATGCCAAGTTTATTTGTGACACCACTAGGCGTTCTTCTACCACCCTACAAAAAAGTGGGGTTCGTTCTGCAAAAGTTTCTTTTTCGTAATATAGCTAATATAAGGGGAATTTTACTCGCGGTCAGTATTTAGCCCTCGTTGAGGGCTTTGAGTCAAAACGATAGTTTTTTTCGTATGGCCTAACCATTTACCTAGAAGCATGCAAAACAATAGCCAGATGTAAAGACGGTAAGTGCCCTAAAATCCGTGTTGCAATGACCCTCCGTTTTTCCCAAAAAATACAAAGATTGTATAGGGAAATACGACTGGTCAGTTTTGACAACTTTACGACGTTTTCCCAGATATGCCGAGTTTTTTATGACACCCCTTGGCTTTCACCTACCACCTCGTAAAATATCAAAGGGTGTGTCGTTCGGCAAAAGGTTATTTCGAAATATAGCCCATATAAGGCGCCAGCAGTCGAGGTCGGTTTTGACCCCCTCCGTGGACTTTTCGACCAACCAGTACTGGCCCTCGTGTTCTATTGACCAAAGGTAGGATCCTGTGTAATTTGAGGCGCCAACATCGCAGGGAAGTACCCCATCGGGCACCTGACCACTTTTCTTTATATATATATATATATATATATATATATATATATATATATATATATATATATATATATATATATATATATATATATATATATATATATACTAGCCGCATACCTGTGCTCCACCACTGTGAATCTTTTCAAAATGTACCAACTTGGGAACAGAACAAAACAAAACAAAACACAAACACAGCACAACACAAACACAACACAAACACACCACAAAACAAATACAAAACAAACACAACACAAACACAAACACAACACAAACACAAAACAAACACAACACAAACACAACACAAATACAACACAAACAAAACACAATTACAACACATTTATGTGTAGGTTTATATTTAGGTTTAGGCTCAAATTTAGGTACACATTTGTGTTTAAATTAGGGTTCAAATTGGGGTTCAAATTTAGGTTAAAATTTACGTTCAAGTTTAGGTTCGAATTAAGTTTTATATTTACGTTTAGGTTTAGGTTTAAGTGTAATTATGATTTAGATTAACAGAGACAGGGAATATGCATATTTTTTTCTTTCTTCTATACTAAGTAGGCTATAGATGAAGTGTTGTGATTGCGCAAAAATTGAAATCGAGATTTGTATGTATCTCAACTTGGAATATAAAAAGCATTTTTCCTTTTTACTTTTTTATACGAAGTATAACGGAAGTATTGTAATTGCGCAAAAAAAATCGAAATCGAGATTTTTACAGATCTTAAATGTTTACACTAGTTTGTGTGTGTCAGAATACAACAACTTTTTAGGAATGCTTTGGGATGAGGACGATGTATAAATTGGTATTTTTCTATCAACTTTCTGAAATGCCAATAACTTGAGTTCCATTTAAAAGTAGGTGGATGAAATTGATCATGTAAGTAATTGATTGTATGACTATTTCCGTAAGAGTAATTGCTACTTTACTTTACGTATGAAATATCGGTTACTTTACTTACACTCTAATTGTTGGCTTTTTAGAAACCGGAAGTAAAGTTATTACCACTTCCGGCTACTGCAAATCACTAAAAGAATGATACAGATATTCAAATTTGATGTAATACTTACATATGCAATTTCATTCACATAACTGAACGAGCACTCAAATAATGCTGTTTACAGGCCTAACAGACTTAGCAGCAAAACCAAGTTTTATTTTCCGTTCAGGAAAGATGTAAAACGTAAAGGTTTGCCAAAATCTCTAATTTTATTCCTTTTGGATGGCAAGCTTGGAGTAAATAAACTCGACTTGATGACTATTGAACTGTTATTTTTGTTCTAAAATCTAACTGAATGTCTAAAAAAACTTAAACTTATTATTGGGCATTTAAAAAAATTATTTTTACTGCGTATCATTTTTATTGACGTAACGTGCAAAGAACGAAGTCAAACTAAATGTTTTAACATTCACACAAACTATAATTTTGTTTAAAAATTAAATTACATCCCTTTGTGGAATTACTTCTCTTAATAGATGACTTACAAAAATATATTACATCATGTATTAAACCGGGAGTGATCTCCCCTAAACTTTCTCGAATATTCTAATATAAAATTACGAGGGATGGCAACTCAGGACATAGACAATATTTGTTATCCATTTTTAATTACTTAAACTTTTTATAATAGAATAGAATCTCGTAAAAAAAGAATTGCACAATAAAAGAAAAGTTTCCCTTTCAAACCTGACGGTCTATGGGGAAAGTGAAGTATAGTTCACTTCTTTCTGTGACCTCGGCAAATGAAGAGATAGTGTGGTCAGCACTATGGCCAGCCGCCTTTACTTTCCCTAACAGGAGTTAGGTACCCATCAGAGTTGGGTGGACTCAGGGACGGTCTACTGACTTGAACTCGGATTCGAACTCGAGACTAACGGGTTAGCAGTCCAGCTCTCTACAGCTAGACCACTCCGTCACACACCAATTGAACGCCTAATAAAATGTGTTTAAAAGTGCGGGATATTATTAGGACTTTATAAATTTACATGCGTTTTTTGAGAAATCGGAAATAGCGTAAATTAGTACTTCCGTTCAACGGAAATTACTCAAAATTTGACAGAAGGTAGAGAATTAGATTTTTTACTTGCGTGTGAAATTTCATGCATCTATCTAAAATAGTACGCAACTTATACGCTTTTGAAATATCCAAAGTATAAAAAGTACCGCTTCCGGTTATCGGAAATCGCTCAAAAGTTGATCAAGATCTACGATTTTGATAAAATACTTATATATGAAATTTCATCAACCTAGCTGTAACGGTACTCAAGTTATCTAGTTTACACACAGACAGACACACAGACACACAGACATACGGACAGAATTGCAAAGTCCAGTTTTTACGACTCGATAACGCATAAAACGCCAAAAAGTTTATATATTTGTATTTATTATTTTTGCCTGATTAAAATAAGTCCTCTATACTCCGGATGTGATGAAGGACTGAGGAGTAAAACGGTGAAAACCGTCAACATTTCATGTTATTTTTGTGCACGATTACAATACTTTCTCTATACTTCGTATATACGAGAAAGTAAAAAACAAATACATGTTGGAAAAAAAATTATATAATTAGCACTGTTTGATAAATTGCAATCTGGTAGATTAAATCAGGTATTTCAAATAATACATTTTACTAATTTATACATTAAACTAACTGTTTACTAATTATCACTTTTAATCAATAATTATTTAGAAGCCATATTCAGATGATCTCTATGTATTACCTTCAGTTTTTACGTTCAGTGTGTGATTAGGTTCGCGTTCATGTTTGCTTTATTTTCTGAGTTATTTTTTGCGCATATTTGCGCTTTTCGCATTTATGTTTGACCTTATCTTTATATTTTCGTTACTTCTATGTTTATGTTTGCATTTGCGTTTATGATTATGTTTGCGTTTATGCAGTGGTCGGATGTTACCTGTTGCGGGACTTAATGGTGTACCCCCCCCCCCCCCCCCCGAGGCGTAGCGACTCTTCCCGGGGACAAACTTTCAATTTTCGATTTGCACCCCCCTCGAAATTTCGATGTGCACCCCCTTCAAATTTTTCTCTATATATTTTACTATTTTTTCCCTTGGTGTCACTCGGTGCGGTCCAAACCCCCTTTCCCCCCCCCCCCTCGCTACGCCTCTGCGTTTATGTTTTCTTTTATATGTGTGTTTATGTTTGCGTTGGTGTTTACAGTATTACAAATGCCAATATTTACATAGAAAAAACATTACTAATTCCAAAACTCACTGGAACACACGGTATATGATGCTTACTGAGCACATACACATAGCTTTTATCTCAAATACCATGGCATGGCCTGGCCGGTACGCTTGTACTCTGTATACGAGAAAGTAAAAATCTTAAGGGGAGATCAATCCCGCTTTATTTTTTTTTTTAAATACTGCCGCTTGTGTAATTTTTTTCCACAGAAAATAAAACTAAAAAAAAAAAATCTTTGAAGGAAAATTGCTATTTACAAAATATTAACACATTATAAAACGAATTGATACAAAATAAAAAAGCACACAGACGCAGACACGCACTGGCACACTCATTATTTAAAATTTCGCACAGATCCGGGCCATCATTCTTCCTGCCCTCGACTCTCTCCCACCTCCCTTCCCCCACCCCACCTCCCGTCTCTCTTTCGACGGTTGACTTGTGGTTTATTGCCTAACAGTTAACCGCCTTCCTTCAAATTTCACGTGCAGATTTTTTCCACTTTCCTAAATCCATTTGACAAAAACCGCAGCGTGGGTGCGGATTTTTCTGAATGAAAAATAAAAGCTTTAAAAGCTTTAGCGTTTGTCATAATAGTAGTTTGCGTTATATTTATTCAAGAGGAATTATTAAAAGCAAGTTTATACCCTAAGTAACGATGGTAATGTATTGACAATTTTTTTATTTTAATCCTGTTGACGGTGTTCTTTAATTTAAAAAAATATTTTAAAATAATTAAAAGTGTTAAAAACTCATTTGATACAAATAGATAATTGATTGATGTAGCACTTTGTATCTAGCACTTTGTGTCTAGCACACCTATTGCTGAGTTAAAGATTTAGTGTTGTTCATACAAAACACACTATAGATACTCTGTAAACAAAAAACATACAAATAAACTTTTAAATTATTTTTTTTCCAGCCACATAAATATGGCTTACTGATGTTGTTTATATATCACTTCTCATTTGGTAAGACTGCTTTAATATTGTTTTAAGCTATTCTTTTAAATTCTTTAATATACTTTTATTATTGGATACCACTTAGATTGAGTGCACAATTTTTTCCTTCGTTTTTTTATTTTTTATTTTTTGAAAATTACTATTACGTATTCCTCGGAGTATTTGAAGATAGATATTTATATTGCCAAAAGAAACATAAAAAAATAGTTCCACTTTGGATCTGATGACTCTTAGGACAAGCAAAGTAAAGTAAATCAGTTTCGTGACCGCTGCATATGAGGTAATGGTGTGGTCAGCACGATGCCTAGCAGCCTTTACTTTCTCTAGCATTAGTCAGGGTGGACTCTAGGACGTCTAATCCTACTTTAAATCTAAGATCCGAACTCGAGACCTTTGGGTTAGCATTCGAGCTTTCTAGTGCCTGGCCACGTCTTCCAACAAATGAACTTATAAAAGATCAAAGTATTGAAGGAGAATAATCTAAAATAATTGTTACAAGCATGGGTTATAGCATCATGCGTCAAAGAGCAATAAAATATTTTAGCTACACGTCAAGACACATTAGTTTGTCTAGCAAAAGAGTGATTCTGATACCGCCCACATTAAGCTTATACAGTTCATAAGATCAACATTGTGAACTTCTACCTAAATATTATTATTCGACTACAATTATAATAGGCGGCACTAGATTGAAACTAATTGGCCCGAAGTTTTTTAAGAGGGGATGTTAATTTCTGACAATAAATATTAGCTATATGCGTGGTGACAGCATACACAATACAAGGGACAAATTATATCAAGACAGAATATATCAGGAAAAATTACCATGAAGAAAATATTATTTTAAAGAATATATATATATATATATATATATATATATATATATATATATATATATATATATATATATATATATATATATATATATATATATATATGGGTATTTAATTGTAAAGATCAATTATATTTTAAGGAAAAAAAGTGCTTAATATATTATTAACATAATGTACAGATATGAGTATAGCTCTATGTAAATATTGTTACTAATCTTTTCATTTTTTTCAAGTGAAATAATTTGTCTGCATGGTTTCTTTTTATCTAACCTAAGGCCACAGCAGTGATGACGTGAAGAAATGTCCAGATCGAATACGATGCGAGGTCTACATCAATATTTCATTAACAGGAGGCTCGCATTGTCTGCTTGTCAATAATGAAAAAGCTGTTGAATTTATTGATGACAACAAAACATCTCCTGAAATTTCAGTCTACGATAGTTATAAAAAAGTTATGGAAGTTAAGTTTGCAAACAACAAGACACGGACCGGCATTATAGTCACTCTGAAATCACCTGATTATACGCAGAATATAACTGGTACCTGGTGTATACAAAATTACGAAACAGGAGAGCTCTTTGACCTATTTGAACTTAAAATTATGAGTAATTATTTATTTTAACATTATTTTTATTTAAAAATATGTATTCACTTTTTAAAGAAATGAGTTACTATACTATATATTAATACATTTTCTGTTTAATAGCAGATTTTCTATAACATGTAAATAATCATTATCAAAATACTTTTTTTCCAGAAAGATTCGAGTACCGAATAATGCTAATCGAAAAGGAAATACAAAATGTGTCAGACTTTTTAGGTAATTGCTTTTCACTTATAGTACATTCGAGAAATGTTAGATTTTCGACCGTCGTTAGTAGCTTAATCTAGTTAAATACTAGTATCCACAACACAAAGTTATGTTTTTCAACTACACCATCAGATAAGATTTGTAACGTTCGATAAATTAACGGCAGTAAAAGTTTCTTTTAAACTGTTATTACATTAATTGTTAATCATGTTAAAACGAAGTGTAACTCTTATATGTTAAAACAAAGGACATTTCTAGCATATATATATATATATATATATATATATATATATATATATATATATATATATAAATATATATATATATACACGCAGCAATAAATCAAATATCCTGTAAGTAAAATAAGGACAAGTTTTTATGAGTAAAAAAAATACTTACATTGTATTTATTTTATTTTCCCCAGTAAGTCTTTTTGATTCAGTGTTGGCGCTAGGGAAGAAGAAAAGATTGATGGGTAAGTTTCCGTTTTTGATTTGCTAATAAAAATACTTTTTTATTTTTTAAAATTAAGACAACACCTCATTAAGTAAAGTGTTAAAATGTTTGTTTTAAGTTTGTTGATATTATTATATTTTTAAATACTATTGACTGATTTTAAACTGTTACCTATTTCACAGTACGTTTAGAGAAAATGAAGAGCAATTTTAACAAAAGTAAGGAGAAAACACACACAATTTCTTGGTCTCCGGAGGTTCGTTTACTTGTCTTTATTTTTATTTTCATGTGTATGAGCGTTTATGTAAATGCGTGCTTTTGTTGTATATATATATATATATATATATATATATATATATATATATATATATATATATATATATATATATATATATATATGGTGACAGGACAAATGATCTCAGGACAAATGATCTCAGACAAAATATCTCAGACAAAATATCTCACGGACAAATGATCTCAGGACAAATGATCTCAGGACAAAATATCTCAAGGACAAATGATCTCACGGACAAAAGATACCAGGACAAAATATATCAGGACAAATGATACCACGGACAATTGATCTCAGACAAAATATCTCAGACAAAATATCTCACACCTAAATTTTAATAGTGTATTGGGTGACTTTAGTTGATCTGAACAATTTTTATTAACTGTTGTATGGTTTTGTTTAATATGTTTAATATTGTTTATAGGCCCATATGATAATTGTAAGAAATGTTTGCCGTATAAATTTATCATATTGCACTTTTAAAATTGTATATTGCATTTTAAAATTAGGTTTATTACTATAGAAGATTAAAGAAATTGTTCGATAGACAGCGTAGGCGGGCTTGCCAAACATGAGACAGTCCAACCATGTCAGATGGACGAAACTAGATCAAAGAGGATGAAATAACAATAGAGAAACACCTTCGTATCAAGGTGGCAGCCCGCTTTGATGGTAGAGACATGCCTTAAGGGAAAGACATCCGCCTTCCATGAACAATACAACTAATAGCTAAATTCAATAGTTATGCGTCGGTCACACCTTAGTGATCAGGTGACAAATGCTTATTTAAGACAAACAGCGGTTATCGCGGAGTTAGAACATGTCGAGCAAGAGTTCACACAATACATGATCACATAGTATTGGAGAGGTGTGATCATAACGATGTACTGTCAGCAAAGAAACGTAAACGTTATGTTTGTGTTGATCATGCAATAAAAACAATAATTTTACGTTACGAACCTAGAGACCCATTAACATTTTTGAAAGATATTTCGCATGTTTTAAACATTATTGTTGTATAGCTACCGTTACTTTGTTTTATACATTATTATTTATCATACCTTTCAGGCTAAAGGAGAAAGTTTGTTTTAATTTTTATTTTTTCAAATCAAAGGCCGTTACAAAGATTAAGTTAAATAAATCTTTTGATGGTTTGTTAAGTTTAACAAATTCATTTTATTCACAATTATTATGCGTAAAGATAGTAAATAAAACCATATTGACAGTCAATTTAAAAAAAAAGTTCAAATGAACTAAAATCATTGTACATACTATCAACATTTTGCTGTGAGATATTTTGTCTGAGATATTTTGTCTGAGATCATTTGTCCATGATATCATTTGTCCTGATATATTTTGTCCTGGTATCTTTTGTCTTTGAGATCATTTGTCCTTGAGATCATTTGTCCTGAGATCATTTGTCCTGAGATCATTTGTCCGTGAGATATTTTGTCTGAGATATTTTGTCTGAGATCATTTGTCCTGAGATCATTTGTCATGGAACCATATATATATATATATATATATATATATATATATATATATATATATATATATATATATATATATATATATATATATATATGTACATATATATATATATTTATATATATATATATATATATATATATATATATATATATATATATATATATATATATATATATATATATATATATATATATGTGTGTGTGTGTGTGTGTGTGTGTGCGTGTGTATGTGTGTGTAATTTTCAACAAATATTTAGGTTATCCAATAGATACAAACTTTAAAAAAAATATTCAATCAGCTCAGATTTGTAACGCCCACAAAATATAAAGATGATGTTTTGTTTTAAGTATTAGTTTAAATAATAATACAGTTCATTACAACAATAACAGATTTTCCTGTGCGTTTAATGATAGTTTTAGTTACGCCATGTTTGTTTGACTATCGTAAATGTTTTACCATTTGCCTGCCATCCTTTTTGTTATTTAATATAAACTGAACCATTGTATGTTGATTTTTTTTGCCTCTCTATATAAGAGAAAACACGTTTGCAATTAGATCATGATGCTTTTAGTACGATTCGCTATAATTAAAATTAAAATTGAGTTACATATATCCATAAATACATTAGCGAAACCGTCATTAATTTTCCCTTGTGGTTTAACAAAAAGTCAAATATCCAGAATTAAATGCTCGTTAAAAACAAAAGATTTTTTTATCAATCTGTAGTAATGAATATGGATTTTAAAACATCTATATTGATTTTAGGAATTAAAATAGTATGATGTAATTGAATTATATATATATAAATATATATATATATATATTTATATATATATATATATATATATATATATATATATATATATATATATATATATATATATATATATATATATATATATATATATATATTCTATATGATTGTGTTATTTAATTTTAATTAAATTTTACTAGGAACGGAAGAGCTAACGCTTATGCAGCAGGAAACAATTATCATCAGTAACTGTGAAGAGGATCAAGAAGAGTTATTTCAAAATGTGGAATCAGTTTAGAAATCAACAAACACAAAATACTTCAACTTGAAAGTAAACAAGACAATTGTTTTTCGGTTCAATTTGTTTAAATTATTAATCATAAAAATGGAAAGACTTCAAATGTGTTAAATATAATACAAACAAAACTGTTTCGCCTATTTATTTTATTATATCCAATGATTATATTTATAAGCACACTTTTTATAAAATGTTCTTTTTGGTTTAGAGTTTACGTATAAAGGTAAAATCAAATAAATCTAAATTAACTTCAATTATATTTAATGTTGTAATAATACTTCAACAGATACAGTTCTTCTTTGTTACATCAAAACAGCCTACACGAATTGACTTGTCTCTAGCTCTGCTTATAGTTAACTATCTCACAGCTCTACACATTAACTTTACATCACGCATTACACAGTAAACACTCAAGGGACGCAACATAAAATACATAATACAAGGGACATAATAATTACTAAAAAGACAAAACAAATGTGCCCTTAGTTTAAATCAGGGGTCTCCAAACTTTTCAGTCCGAGGGCCGCATTAACTATCACATTTCAGTTCGGGGGCCAGTTTCTTCCAGGCATGTCTTTGATTTTTCTGGGCAAAGTTCCTCAGCCATCACTAACTGACGTTTTTTTCCTTGGACAAAAAGATATCCGCGGGCCGGATGAGAGGACCTCGCGGGCCGCATCCGGCCCGCGGGCCGTAGTTTGGAGACCCCTGGTTTAAATATATAAAATATTCTTTTATGAGTAAGTACAAGAATCATTTTTAAAATTTTCCATCTTGCGTCAATTTATAACATCTGAACATTGATGTTATCATTTACCAGCTATCAACAACTTTAATGGTTGTTTTTGACGCCGGATTTCGCAACGTGAATGTGGAACTAAGGTCAAATAATTTTTTAATCGCCTCTAAAGTTGGTCATGGTAAAATTACTAACGATTTAACAATTACCACATTTTCTTTACCACAATGTGAATGTTCGAAACAACGCTCTACAAAGTCGAAGTAACGAGTTTAGTTTTTTTTTTGCTTTATTTTTATTTATTTATTTATTTATTTTGTAACGGGACGGTCAGGCTATAGAGCGCTTTAATACGATACGTAAAGAGTTCGGATCTGGGAATCAAGTGTCTTAGTTCGTCACTGAACCAATCTTGCTACGATGAGTACCTGACTCACGTTAGAGAGAGTAAAGGCGGCTAGGCGTAGTGTCAACAACACTGTCCCGCTGTATGCCGAGCTCAACAAACACATACACTCAACCTCACGTGCCATATGGACCGATGGGTCTAAAACGGCAAAATTACGTTTTAGTTTTATCTTCTTTTGTATTTTTAACGATCAACATTAAACTAAGTTAAATAAACCGAGAGTAATCTCCCCTAAACTTTCTCGAATATTCTTTTGTGAAATATTAAGGGATGGCAACTTGGGATATGGACATGATTTTTAATGCATTTTAAATACTTAAACATTTTAAAATAAAATAAAATATCGTAGAAAAAAATTTGCACACCAAGTGAACGCTAAATAAAATGTGCATAATTGTGTGGAGTATTATTTGTACTTTATAAATTCGAATTTGAGAAAACAGAAATAGCAAAAATTACTACTTCCGGTCAACAAAATTTACTCAAAATGTGACAGAAGGCAGAACATTAGATCTATTACTTACATGTGAAATTTCATTTATCTATCTGAAATAGTACTCAAGTTATAGGCTTTTGAAAAATTCAAAGTAGAAAAAGTTCCATTTCCGGTTATCAGAAATCGCTCAAACGTTGATACATATCTACGATTTTAATATAATTTCATCAACCCAGTCGTAACGGTACTCAAGTAATCGTGTTTACAGACACACACAGACACACACACACAAACACACACATACATACGGACAAGATTGCAAACTATGTTTTTCGGACTCAGGGAGCTGTAAAACGTCGACATTTGCAAAAAATCTCGATTTTTTTTTTGCACGATTACAAGAGTTTCTTTTTATTTCGTACAGGCTAAACGAGAAAGTAAAAGTTCTAGTAAAATCGCAACAAAATACTAATACATATAGTTTTTAATTCATACATGAAGCGAAAGTAAAATATTGTAAATCTGTGCAATGTTAAAAGAAATAGAAAAAAAAAATGTCTCAAGGGATCACTAAAAAAGCAAACATATATCAGCAAATTATCAATAACTCGTAATGCATACTAAGTTGGTTCTGATTCTAGTTTCAAAACATTGAACGACGTCTGTACCTTGAATGATATATGTCGTATGCGTAATGAGGAAAACTTAGATCAATTTCTACAAACATGAAGAAAAAAATTGAACTAAAAAAGAGAAGTCTACGATTACGGAAAAGGGCTTTTAAGTCTCGGTCTCTCTCGCTTAAAATTCCAAGTCTCGTGTTTAAGTCTCGGTCTCTCTCGCTTAAAATTCCAAGTCTCGTGTTTAAGTCTCGGCCTCTCTCGCTTAAAATTCCAATTATTGAATTCCAGAGTGAGATATACATTTTGGTATGCCTCGCTTCAATATTTAAAATACGAAGATTACTCAAAATAAAAATAATCATAAAAATGTCACTACTATTAGAATACATTTACGTTCGGGTGGGCCTAGGCTATTAACATGAATAATGTAAGTTCCTTAACGAAGGGGTGAGGTGGGTGTGGGTGTGTTTTTGGGTGAATACTCACTCAAATGTGACGCGCCAGGCACTTTAGTGAGACCCCTTGGCATTTGAAAGAGAGGACAATGACAGACCTGGAGACGGAATCTTCATGAACAACCGAAGAGAGCTAAACCAACAGATAAAGAAAGGTTAAGGTTGAGACTCTTCACTCCACATGACGTGAAAATGATTTAGTCGAGTAAGTTTTTCTTCTTCTTGGTTTTTAATTTTTTTTTATTTTTGAAGGGATTCACTTAATTATTAGAAGTGCCAACTTTTATGAACGTCATTGACTCCGATTTCAAAATGCTTTCATTTTTTAATTAACTTCTATAGCCTTTGTCCAACCCAGATAAAATACAAGGCAGCAGTTGTTTGATCTTGAGTTGTCTCTCCTAGAAGAGTTGCTGTCCCCAGCTAACAAGCCACATGCGCCCGAAACTTCAAGCAACCATGAGCTTTACCGACTCTAAGTAAATACTTTATATTTGTCTTACTCTTTCTGTCATTTTAGATTTTCCTATTCTTTTTGGTCACTTTTGATTAGATTATTTCTTTATGTAAATTTAAATTTGTAACACATGTACTAATGGCTTACGCACACATTGTTCTGTTATATCATAAATATTTTTTGAAGATCTACCACTATAAGGACAGTAGATTGCAAAAATCACTTCAGCCATGCATAGGTATGGTGGCCATAATAAAGAAATGATCTGATATTTTTAGTAGGTAACTTTTCATTTTGCCTGTAAACAGAATTTTTCACATTACGTATCAAGAAACTTAAATAATTGTTGGCAAAGATTGGTCAATCCGTTTAGTTTATATATTTCTTTGTATAGAATACCTAAAAATTGTCACTCTTGAACCAAAGATATGTAATATGGTATTTGAAAGAGCGGGGGTTGTATTTGCTTCGACAGCTATTTATGTAGAAATAAAATCTCTACGACTAGCAAGGTAATACATTGACAATGGCTGTGAGGAAACTAAAAGATTAGTGAAAAAATATGGTATGTATACCCTTTTGTACATTTCAATTCACCGGTGGTACTATTTGGACACGTTTGATGGTAATTAGTTTTGTAGCGTGTTTGTCTACATTACTATGTTCCTATATTTAATAATTAAACATAAATATATATTTTTTTAATATAAACTCTCTACAATCCCCGCACTTGTACGTCTAAACAACAACAACATAAACATAAATACAACCGTTATATTTGCCACAATGGCACTTCATTTTGTTTTTCACTTAAAGATCTTAACTGAGCAGTATGGATGTGAAGACTATTTGTAATTATTTTTAGATTTAAAACACTAACCAAGTCTAAGTCTAAACTCATATCCTATTCTGATTGCCAAGTTTCAGATACATTGGTCTGTAAGAAATCCTCGAAACCTTGTTTGCCAGTCTTGATTTAGGACGGATGACCAAAGAAGAAAGATCACTAAAAGTTTGTAATAAAAGCTTGCTTGTAATAAATAATTTTCATTAAATACGTTAGTGTTGTGTAGATTACACCGGTCTACAATTCATACCACTATCAAATATATTAAGCTAATCGATAGAAAATATTCATAACATGTTGAATTTATGCTGGTTAATGAAATTGTTGTGTTGGCCAACAATGAGTTGAATCGATCGTATAAGAGAAGTAGTGGGCCGGTTTTTACTTTTATTTTAGTTCAGACGATGCATTATTATATTGTCTTTCTGACTGCTATGCTGTAAAGTGCAGAAGATATGCGTATCGTTTTGTGTTCTGATGCTGTCAGAATAACTCACTTGTATTACAACAACGATAAACTCTACTACAAACGTGCTATATCAGTTATATCTTCAAATACAGGTAAACATTTTAATCTCGTAACATGATTACAGCACAAAACAAGTATTCAGAGTTTCTTCCAGGCATAAAGTTTGCCACCGAGCCACCCCCCTCCCCCGGAACAAAATGGAGTTTATATATACAGTGGTGTAGACAGGGGGTTAGGAGGACTACAACCCCCTAGCCCTAGCCCTAGCCCTAGCCCTAGCCCTAGCCCTAGCCCTAGCCCTAGCCCTAGCCCTAGCCCTAGCCCTAGCCCTAGCCCTAGCCCTAGCCCTAGACCTAGCCCTAGCCCTAGCCCTAGCCCTAGCCCTAGCCCTAGCCCTAGCCCTAGCCCTAGCCCTAGCCCTAGCCCTAGCCCTAGCCCTAGCCCTAGCCCTAGCCCTAGCCCTAGCCCTAGCCCTAGCCCTAGCCCTAGCCCTAGCCCTAGCCCTAGCCCTAGCCCTAGCCCTAGCCCTAGCCCTAGCCCTAGCCCTAGCCCTAGCCCTAGCCCTAGCCCTAGCCCTAGCCCTAGCCCTAGCCCTAGCCCTAGCCCTAGCCCTAGCCCTAGCCCTAGCCCTAGCCCTAGCCCTAGCCCTAGCCCTAGCCCTAGCCCTAGCCCTAGCCCTAGCCCTAGCCCTAGACCTAGCCCTAGCCCTAGCCCTAGCCCTAGCCCTAGCCCTAGCCCTAGCCCTAGCCCTAGCCCTAGCCCTAGCCCTAGCCCTAGCCCT